GTTGTTTCTCAGTTCATTTACTCTTACACTAGAAATCTGCATTCTTTACAACTCTAGCTGTTCAAATCCAAAACTCTCTAAGACGGACTAGCAAGAGAACACAAACTATAAATGATTAAAATTCCTTTCATTTTCATCTTCTTCCAGCACTTGTTATGTTTCGTTAAAGTATTAGACATTATACTTTAGACACTGTGCTTCTCCACTCCAGAATTGGACGCTGTCTAGAAATTTTCTCTAGTTGCACTGAAACCAAAATTTCATCGTGGATCATGTTCTTGGTATTTGTGAGTAGTTATTCTTTTGGTTTTGATTCTTTTAAAATTCTCCATACTGATAAACAATTAGGAAATGATGGAAAACATTCCTGAAATAGTTCTTCCTGATACGTTGTACTTTTTACCACCATTATTTTTGAAACTTTTGGCAGTGAGCCCAAGCCCCTATGCTTGAGTTTTGTAATCCTAAAAGGATACATACACTCAGAGGTAAGAGTTCCAAATATTTTAAGTATACAACGTCCTAGGAGTGGCCCACCCCATCATCTTAGATACCCTAGCCATTTTCTTATCATCCTTCTCACTCTATAATCACAAGTCCTATAGTTAACTTGACTAAGAAGAAAAAAACAAGGAGACAGACACACACATGCACACAGAGCTTCTCCCCTGACGGATAAGAGGGTCTTTCACATATAGCTCTAATATTCACTTGATGGCAGCACAGCAGCTAAGCCTGGAACCAGTCTCCCCCAAATCATCAGGAAGTGTGGTACCAGAGCTACCAGTTTCCAATTTAATAATTTTGGTTGAATCTCCCTTTTAGTCCTGGAAATACTCACAGAAATTGTGTGCTCACTTATGAGTACCTTTCTGGACTTAGGGATCATATTGAATTACAGTCCACTTTTAATTTACTTTATGGAGCTCTTGTAAATATCACTGTCTGCCCAGGAGACATTAGTAGAAACTTTACAGAATTTGGATGCAAATCTTACCCCCCTTTCCAACCTATATACCCAAGTTTCCATACAGTATACAAACAGTTAATAGCTGAAGATAGCTCAAGATATACAATTTCAAAGGCTAACAGATCAGATAATAGGGAATGCAAATCTTCTGGCCAAAGTTCAGACTTATAGTGTTTAGAGGTATTTTTCAATTCTAAACAACCATTAGTTCGATGGAGTACTAAAAGCACTTACTGCCATTTTACCAATTCAGATGTCTGTGGCAACATAAAGTATTTTTACAGCACTGCTGAAGCTCACTCTCACACGAGGGTCACACCAGGTCCCTGCTTCTTGGGTGAAATGCTGTAGAATGCCTCGACCACTACGGGAATCACTCTCTGAGGATTCCTAGGATCCCCACACTTCTACATGAAGCCTTCTAAGAGGGGAACTGGGTTTCCCCAACTTGTTCTCTGAGGGAGAGACAGAGTAAAATAACAACCATGGCCTGCCTTCAGTTAAGTGATTATTACAAAAAAAGAAAAAAAAAAACTGGGTAGACTTTTATTTGACTAGTATCATCAAACCAAAGCTTTCATTTTATCTCCCATCTCTTTCAACTTTAAGGCTTTTTTAACCTTGCCCAAGCTTTCCTTTTTCTGGGGTTGGCAAAAAACAAAACAGAAATGTTATTTCATCACCCAGGGTGGTAGGATATAACACCATGAAATCTCTAGTGCCAGAGGGCAAAAAATTTTGTACTGAAACAAATTAGCATCAGTGAGTCATAGCTTGAATGTCCTGTTAGGAGAATCATCCATCAAACATCTTAACAGCTATGGCTTTCACTTTCCACCAGGTTATCTGGAAAGCAAGCAGGTATTAAGTTGTTTTAAAATATAAATTCCATTGTATGCTCTAGGAAATGAACGAGAGAGTTTACCTCTCCCGTTTCCCCAGGGAAAATTACTTAAAACTTAAAACTGAATAAGTCTATTCATACCTTTCCATAGAAAAGACTGAAATATTCTCTTTACCCATTCAACTGTCCTCGGCTCTAAATTATTTTTCCAACAATTTTCACTGCACACATTGCCAAGCCCAGGATCAAATATTAGCTTTCACACTTCTCCATCAGGTGGAAAAAAAGATTTTAATTGCTGAAAAAAAATTAAATAATATAAAGTCTAATTAACAAGTTGATCAGTAAATGCTTGGCATTTGTCTTATCCAGGAAAAGAATAATAAAAGTATTCCAAAAGACTGTTCAACTTAGCTTCCCCCAAATTAGTTAAGTCTTTCCTTTACATAAAGAACTCTCTTTTTTCTCAATCTCCATTAAGTTTACACACAGCGGATTTAATATGGTAAATCTAAAGCATTCCTCAAATGAAAACCACTTAGGTGGCCCATTAATACCAAATTTTAAAATGACCATTTGAAAGCTTTTTCTAGAGGGGGCATTTGCCACCTTTACACCAACCTGGATGCCAGCTAGTTATATATCATATCTTTCCCAGTGCATTTTTTAAGCTTAAAGCTTAACACATGATAAAACAATATTAGATCAGAATGAGAAAAGAGGCTTGAGAAATTTTGCATATCTTCAATTTTAAGAAGCCCAAATATATTTCAAAAATCACTTAAAAATCAAACCTACTCACATCTGAAAGAAAATATGCCTGAAAACAATGTACCAGCTCTACACAACAGGTATTGTTTGAATTATCCAATCCTCTATATATTATCTCCACCGGGATGGGTCCAGTGGCTGGGAGGATTTTTTGAGAATGCTGCATCCATTCCTGGTTAGTTTCAAAGGTCTCCAGCGCCCAAGCAAGGCGTTTGGGATTTCACAAAGTTGTTCAAAGAAGGAAAATAACCCAGAGAGGCGGGAAGAACGCCTTTAAAGTGACAAGCTTCCTTAACCTCCTCCGGTTCCGAAGTTTTCCCGTGAGCTCATCACTACTGCCCACTAAGTGATTCGTTTGCAAATAGAAACGAAGCAGGGAAAAAATAAGTTCCAGCCTAGGTCTTCCCAACAGGGGTTCCCCACCTAAAACGGGCAGGCAAGAGGAGTGCCAACGTATCGGCTACAGTCACTTTTAAGTTTCTTGCAGAAAGTGTAGACCAACACCCCAACCAATGACTCATCTGGGGGCTTTGTAAGCGGACTTTGTTTGCGTTCTCCACTTTCCGTCTCCCCCACTTGGTAGGAGGGCACGTCCGAGGTGGAACGCGAGGGAAAGCGCTGCGGGCGCAGGTCTGGCCTCCCGGAGTCCCGGCCCCCGCCCCCCCCCGCCGCCCCCCCCCCCGCCCCGGCCCGGCTGGGGGATTCCCCGGGCTGAATGGGACGGCGGGAGAGCTGGACAGAGGGAGAGGGTGTCAGCTGCCAAGCTTCGGCAGAAGCTTGAGGGAGAAAAAAATGTAAATGCAGTGAAAAAGTTTGGGGAGGGGACACTCACTCAGAACACCCCTCAAGAGGGTAAACACGGGGGGGGGCGGGAAGGGGGAGTGGCGGGGAACCCAGGGATACCCGCTATTCGCTGGGATGGGGGGGGTCAGAAAGTCAACACATACACAAAAAGAGGAGAGGGAGGTGAAACGGAAGGAGAGCGAGCGAAAGATGGATGAAGTGCGGGGGGGGGGCGCTCAGAGTAGGACCTGGGGACCCCCCCTCACCCCACGGTGCGGGCCCGGGCCAGGAGCGCGGTGGCCAAGCGGCCCGCGCTATCCAGCGGCCCGGCGCCCTCCTTTCTCTGGGCCGCGGGTGGTGACAGCGACCGGCCTCCTCCCTTCCCCTTCAGGGCGGGAGGGAAGGGTGTGTGCGTGTGCGTGAGTGTGCTGGGGGGGGGGCCCGGGGTTCACCCCGAGGCCTGCTCTCTCCCCCGCACCCCGTGAGGCCGCCTCCTTTCACCTCAGCAGCCCCGCTCCGCCGGGGCGGGCGGGCGGAAAAACAAAGGGGGATTAAGGCCGGGCCGGAGAGCGGAGCCGGGAGGGAGGGGAGGAGGAGCGCCCGCCCGCCCGCCAGCCCGGGGCCCGGCCCCCCTGTCCCCCCCGTGCCCCCCCGGGGGGGGCCCCCAGTACCTGGAACAGGAACGCGGTCCAGTTGGCCTCCATGGCTGCGGCGGCCGACCCCCCTCCTCCCCACTCCCCCCGCTCGGGGAGCCTCCTCAGCCGGAGGAGGCGACAACAAAGCGGCGGCGGCGGCGGCGGCGGCAGCGGCAGCGGCGGCTCCTCAACATGGCAGCGCCGAGCGCGGCCACTTCCGGTAACCTCCGGGACGCACCACCGCCGCGGCGAGCGCGGGCGGGGGGGGAGCCCCGACCCGGCCGCCGCCGCCCCCAGCCGCCCGGACCCCTTCTGGGCGTCCCCGCCGCAGACTCGCCGCCTCGGAGCTCAGCCAGTGCCCGCCGGCGGTGGGGTCAGAGCCCCCGCGGGGGGGCTGGGGTGGGGCCGGGGGCGGGGATGGGGCGCGGCGTCCCCCCCCGCGGGGGTGTGTGGTGCTGCGGTCCGCGGCTCAGGCAGCTGGAGCAGGGGGAGCGCAGGAGAGAAGATGGAGGACGCCAGGGTCTGGCGCGGGCTCGCTGGGCACTGCGGAGCCGCCTCTCGGGGCGCCAGCGCGGTGCCCGGCAGCGTCGCCGCCCTGTCAGACCCTCAGCGGAAGGCACAGGCCACGGCGGTCAGCCGGCTCTTCAGTCCCGTAGACGCGGCACAGCCCGAGCCTCCAGATTGGGGGAAGCCCCCAGGGCTTCGAGTGTCTCTCCCCTCTGGCAGTTCATCCCCAGCCAGCTAAAGCCTCCGCACTACTGCTACGCTGTGCATCTGCCTCGGAGTGGCCCTCCAGCTCTAAAAAGGAATCCCACTGGGGTGCAGCCTCAGATCCTCCCAGCTGAGGGAAACACTTCCCACGCGCAGAGATGTCATTACTGGCTGATTCTTGGGCGAAGGGCTGAGCTTTCCCATCCTCCCCTTAACTCCAGATAGGATATGACATTTTACCCGAACATCCCCCTCTCCCGCCAAAAGAATAAAAACAAGTGAGAAGTATAGATAAGAAATCATTTTTGTCCTTTAGTACAGTCTGCTTTCTCACCCCACAAAACAAAAACCGAACTTGTGGTTGGACGGCGTCAGATGTCACTGAGGTGACCCCAGCCTGTTTGCAGTTCCAAGTCTTCCGTGTAGGCGTCACTGCTACTGGAACTTTGTATGATGATGTCCTGAACGTTTGCTATCCTCTCCTCGCAGAGAGGTAGCTACTGGGAATATCAGAGACAAGCTATTATTAAACAAATGTCTCCAGTCCAAGAAGTCTCCTGTGGCGAGAAATGTGAGGGCAGGCTGTATCGGTGATATTTTTATAAACCCTGGCTTAAAAAAAAAAATTCCTCAGATGGTCACATTATTTCAAGACTTCAACATCTTTCACAACCAACGGTCTCTTATCTCATGCACTCCATTTATTCCTCTCCAGACACATTCTAATCAAGGTCACCATCTTGAACTTCCCCTAGATTTACACAATAGTAATAGTATGGTTGCAGAATTCTATTCGTAAAAGAAACTGAAGAGGTATAGTCATTTGACAGTCTGTGTTTCCCTTCCACCCACTACACATGTATACCCCCCCTCCCGCTCTTTCCTCCCCTCAGTCACCAGAAGGAAAGGGCTGCACACGTTGGCCTGGTTCCTTTTAGAGTCGATTCCCTATTGGACATTGCTTGGAGGCCTTGGGGATGAATGAGAAGTTCTGCAGTGTGGATCAGTATCAGAAGCAGGTAGCACATCAGGGGACAGATCAGCCTAAGACATGAGGGGACAGAAAAGGATGAATAGTTTCTCATACATTCCTCAGCTAAGCTGCTGCAGTGGCTTACTTATGTCTCTATAAAAATGTCCCCCATTAGTCTTATTTGGGGAGATAAATAAAATGGCTCAGGAAGCCCAAGTTTATATGCACATGCAAGATAAGGAGGGAAGCAAGATGTAAATCTAAGGAATTAACTAGGTAAACTAAAATCTCAATTCTAACCTTAGACACTGCCTGTTCTTTCATTTTCATTCAGTGACTCCACATCTCTGCTTCTTGACCACAGAGTCACCTCAAGGGCTATGTAATTTTCTACTAAGTTTTCCTCCTCCCCAGTTTAGCCTTTCGTACTTTGCAGTGTTTCAAAGGGTGTTAGAAATGAAACTTCAGGATCATGAAAACTAGTGCTTATGAAGACCATAATTCTGACGACGATATTGCCAGACTCTTGAACTTATTCCAAGATCTAGAAACCCTTGTCCAGCAATCTTTCTCATAGTACCTCTGGAGAGGAGTTTTCTCACGTACAGGAAATAGAGGTCAAGTGAAAACAGTCCAGTTCTCGTTACCGAAGAGCTGGGATTCAGAAGTATCACTTTTCTTGGGGAAAATGGCTCTATCCAGGAGAGAAACCCAAATTGCTGATTGTTCCCCAAACCCTCCCTTAAAAAGAAAATTTAATAGCCTCTTAAATTCAGATGAAAATTTAAACGTTAGGATATTTTCCCTCTGGTTTGGAACAATTACTCAAAACCCATCAGCTCCAAATGTTTTGAGGAATATGATGAAACCAGTAAGATTAAAGACTCCATCCCTAGAAGGGGCATTTCTGCCCTTAGGACAGACAATATTCTTAACCACAAACAAATGAGCCCCTCCTCAAACAGCTTCCACAGACAATACTGGAGAAAGTGAAAAGACTAGAGATGTCTAAAGACAGTAAATTTATCCTGATTATTGTAAACAACTTTCAGTGGGTGAATCAATAGTGCTACCTTCAGACAGATTAACTGAAATGTTTGGTGTCTAAGCAAAAAAAAAAAAAAGTGTGCCTACATCCACCCAAATAAAACTTGAGATCCCCTCCTCCTCACCTTAATCAGTTTCCTCTTTCCCACCTCCTCTGCCCCAGTGTGTATAACCTGTCAGTCAGTCACTTAACCTTCCAGGGTCTTATTTCCTCATCTGGAAAATGAGGACAAAATAAATACATATCTCACAGTGGTGATTTGTGAATTAAATGAGAAATGTATGTAAAATGCCTAGAACATTTCCTGTAATAGAACAAGTCCTAAGTAAATATTTTTATTGGTGCTATTTAGTGGTTCTAGATTAACTTTGGGGCTGTGAACTCTACCTAACAGTTCTGAGTTAGTTGATTATTCCTCTCACTTTCTTTCCAAGTAACAGGGTTTTCACCACACCTCATTCTTCTCTGGAAGAGCCCTAAGGTAAGCTGACAAAAGGCTAATGACACATGACAAAGGAAGATGCCTATTAAGATCAACTTTTCAAGGGGCGCTTGGCTGGTTCACTTGAAGGAGCTCGCAACTCTTGATGTGGGGGCCATGGGTGTGAGGCCCACGTTGGGTATAGAGATTACTTAATAAAAACTTTAAAAGAAATCTTTTTTTTTTTAAGATCAGCTTTTCTAAAGACAACTTTTAGCAAACTTTAGAGAGCAACAGGATATTTCCTTCCTATTTCAGAGAGAATTTTAAAATCCTGTGAGTACATTTAGGGTTATAATTAGATTTAGCATCCTAGGAATAGGAAACATCTCTGCTGTTGTCAATTACCTGTCCCCAAGTAAGACTGCTTAACAAACTGAAAACAGATCAAATCAAAAACTTTCAATAGGGAAGATCTACTCCAAAGAAGTTAAAAGAGGCTTCAATGAATCTGTCAAGTTAATGGATTAATTCTTCATGCAAAAAAAGCTAGAATGGACAATGAACAAATCTAACACAAGCCAAGAATGGAATATTTGCAAATACCAAAAAAAAACAAAAAAATTGGCCAGAGAAGTGTTTACCCCCCTTCATTACCAGCCTCAGTGCAATCAAGGAGGAAAGGAGGCACATTTTAAAGGGAACACCCCCAATTCTCCAAATCAAAACAAGACACCACCACCACCCAGCCAAGCTTCTCGGAGGAAAGCAGAAGTAATCTCCCCACCCCCCTCCAGTCCACCCCAACTTCATAACCACACTAAGGGCCTAAGCCAATTGCCTGTGGCCCATGTGGTCAGAAGTTGGGTTTGTGTTTCAATTCCACCACCTAAAGTGTCATCACTAGTTATTTCTGCTTTAACTGGTAAGGTGAGGAAGGGGAAACAATGGAGAACTTCTCCCTCTGAATACCTATTTAAGTTCCTTGACAGCTGGACAGTCACAGAGAACAAAGGTACAGGAAACAAATCTCATTTTCCTGATAGACATTTAGTTTGACTAGTAGTTGAGGGTTCTAAAACACTATTGTTTCTAAGAAGGGTCACATCCCCAACATGCCAAAAACAAGTCCGAAGCCATGGAAACACATTTATCACTTTAACTCTTCTAGAAAGAAGCTACCAGAAATCAATGCAAAACCTATCAGTTCCATCCACAAAGCATTTAAGTAGAAAAGCTAACTTCCATTTCACAACTCTTAAATGACTGACATAGAACATCTAACAAGTAGCCAACAAAATAGCATAGGACACAAGAAGGAAAGAAAGTAAGACAGGTCAAAAATACACCAAGTAAGAAATTCAATACAACTGGAAAACATACTCTCAGGCACCAAACATTTCTCCTTTGGCCACCTGTTCCTCCCTGCCCTCAGATGCCCCAAGCACAGGGTAATGGCTAAGCTTGAAAAAACGTTGATAACCAACAAGTCACACAAACTTGGTGGTACTAACCCACACTAAAAGCTTAGCTCAGTTACAACATCACGCTAATAGTCAGAAACATAAATCCTTACATGAATGGTTATTCTAGTACAGTGGCTTTAACCTCCACCCCAAACACATTCCACTGGTTAAAAGAGGGATGTAATGACCCTGAACAGCACTGTGCTATCCATCTGCATTACCAGAAAAACACCATTCATTTGCAAAAAAAAAAGGAAAGAAAAAGAAAAAAAAAATACTACTTATTAATGCCTGTCCACATGTTGTGAAGAGTAGGGGCAGAGCAAAACCAAAATACATCAAATGAATATTCTTTACCCAAACCCTGATAGACACACCTCGTTAATAATTTCTTCACACCAGATTTAGGGGTAGTCCAGAATTCAAGAAGGGTTTTGTTTCTCAGAAATCTCCAGAGTTAGCATATTAATACATGTGGATTTTATGGTTCCCTCTTTCTGCATCCGTAGTCCTTCCTCTCCCTTTCATGGACCTAGAATTAAGAAAAAGCCTCATCGGGTCAATCTGATGTTCTGCTGAGGATTCCCCCATTCCCGGGGAACTAATGCATTATGTTGCCTGTGTGAGGGAAGCGAGCAGTGGTGACCTAAGACACTGATGTGGCATCACAACACTAGCTAGCCTAAGCTTTAGGAAGGCTGCTCCATTCTAGAAAGCAATGCCAAAAGATGGCAACGCAAGGCCCGGATAGCATTAAGATCTGGCTAAGGCTCCAGGGGAGGGAATTCGCTCCTTTAAAGGTGTTTCTTGACCCTGAGCAGTCTCTGAACTAGACACTACCTAAAGCTCAGTCATTGGGTCTAGGCATAAAAGCAGATGCAGGAACCAGGCAAGCTGTTAGGGACAACAGCTGTACTCTGCATTTGCTCCTTAAGCTGTGAATAAAACATCAGGCTTACAGCTATCACAAATACTACTCCAAACATTGTTATCCTTGATTGCCTGAGCAGAGGCAGCAAGCTCTTTGCTAGAATTGAAGGGGACCAGAATTCCTAGAGGACAGTGGTTTTGACTTGATGAACAATTTACTATGGTAAATAGGGAAGATGGGTCAGAGAATCTAGATTTGTCTCCTGAAGTAACTTTATAGTCTTTTCAACAAAGTGTACAAAGCTCTACTCAACTACCTGACAGAAGTAAATCAGCCCTCTACCCCCAAGGACTGACCCTGTCCTCTGCTTTTTCTTTTACTGACCTTACATAAGTACCGTCCCCTTCACCGCCCCCCAGCTCCTAGCTATTTCCTCTTGTTTTTCCAGCTTCCTCTGCCTGACCCACCTGTCCTTTCACTTTCTCTCATCGTTCATTCAGCAGGGACTACTCAGAAAGCCATATCCAAACCTGTGAAAAAAAGCTTCCGGGGCATCAGGTAGGTATAAGGTAATCCCAGAAACCGGCATTCTGGGGGTTAGGTTACACATGATTTCTGCCTTTTAGTAGTTTGCACTTTAGATAGGAAAGGCAATATACTTACTCTTCATATACGGAAGTGCATCTTCAGACCAATCTACTAATGCATTTACAGATTTATAATTAGGGGATGAAAAAATCCTTTAGTGATGCATCTCAGGGACACTGGAACTGGTAACTTTTATTCCTAAATATTCATTGAGTCCCCTATGTAGTACACTCAACAAAACTCATGAAGCCTGAGGAAGCCCCCCCCCATGTTTGACATGTTAATTTAGCTCAGTTATTCTGATCACTTAGGCAAAGCAGATGGAAGGGTTCAAATTGGTACTGTAATCTGTGACTAGCCCTCTCACCAAAAGACATGAGAAAACTGAAAAGGACTACTACAAGAAGGTTTAGGATTTATTCCATTGATTACCTTAAAACCACAGGAATTTGGGGATGGGAACACACAGGGAAGACAAGTAGCAAAAAGGTTAAAGGGAACTACCAATCAATATCTCCCATCAGTAATGTTCACTCTAATTTAGTAAGCCTATCCTGGTGGCTTAAGAGCCCTGGTGAAAAGATATTGCATGGGTAAAATAAAATTCAGGCCACGCTAATTAATTTCTACCCAGAAATGACATATTTCATTCAGATTTGAAAGGCAGTCCAGGACCTCCCAAGAATTACTTTCCTAGTTCATAAAAGGTTCTAATCAGCTGGAAGACAAATCAAAGTCCTCACTATCCCTAACGTAGACTCTCTCCTTAGAGAAATGGCTCATGTATAACCATAATCTATTATGAAGGCTTTGCTATTTCAATATACAAGTATTAACTGAGCACCTATTAAATGTCTGGAACTGTACTAGTCACTGGGGATACTTTTAAGGAGCTCCTCCAGGGGAGAACTAAAACTTGAAAAGAATCAGACATTCGTACAAAGTGCTTAAAGAGCACTGGAAGGAAAAAATAAATTTAAAGCGGGTGTTTGACCTCTTTACTACTAGAGACTTCATCTCATTAGTTCTCACATGTTATAGTTTTAACACTGAAGATTGTAATAAAAGATTGTTGAATATCAAATACAGATGCCTAAGAGGTTGTATGCTCAGGGCTAAGTGTAATGCAGACTTTTTCTCAAGTCACTACACACTGGCTTTTAAAACTCATCTACCTTGAGTAGTAAAGCAATTCAATCTTTCTGTGGTGGATCTCTTTTACGAATATCCATTTGTGTTAAGTGTATATTCAGCTACCAGAACAAATGCAGATTTGTGGACATTAACCTGTTCACAGGGTCTTTTCTATCCTAATGTCTGTCCTTTGTGGGCTGCCTCCTCATTAGTAGTGTCTAGCCAAGCCCTGGCTGTGCCCTGAAGGGGTTAAAAGAGGGCAAGGGCATCTGATGCTGGCTTTGCACTGCATACTAGAAAGACAGGGAGTTAAGCACCCCACTTTCCTGCTGCTGAGCTTTGGGCCACAGCCACTAGGACTAAAACATGGATCAAAGACAGCACGATGGGACACCCTGGTGGTAGCAGGTGATATTACAGGTCATTTTCACTCGAGTCCCTAGAAACCACCCCACTGGAAAAGGCAGGCTGGCTTAAAAGAAAAAACCAACCAAACAAAAAACAAGTAATGTGGTAGTAAAATGAACGAATTTGTCACAAGACAAGATTCAAGTTCTGGGCCTGTCACTTTTAACTATCTTTGAGCCTATTTCATCAACTGCAAAATGAAGCTAATGCCACTCAAGGATTATAATAAATCAAAGTACTTCATGGAACAGTTAGCTACTACTTTCACTAAGAATAAGGTATTTGTCTTATGCCTTTGCATTTTTCCTTTAAAAAGAAAAAAAGGTAGCGAGGGCATGAACCCTTGAAGTCCCTACTTTGGAAATAAGCCAAATCTGATTAGAGGACCACACTATTTATCTAAGCCATGCAGGGTACCTGCCTAGGATTTCATGAACATATTCATTCATAAACATTAAGGTATTAGTATACCGAGCATCTTGGAATTGTCAAAAACACAGTGCTTGCTCTTAGTTTACTGTGTAACCAGGGGATATACATGTATACAAAACTATACAACAGATTGAAAGCAACATGCAAGCGCATACATGTGACAATATATAAACAAAAAAAGCAAAGCAGAAATTACAGTGCAATTAGTCCAAGAATGCTGAAGTCTTTAGCTGATCATGAAGGGGTGGAAGAATTAGAGGCAAACGGCAGGGAGTGTTGGTATGGTGTGTGTGGAAGGGAAGGTTTGTTGAGTCTCTTGGCTTTGAGACAATTCAGCTACCAGGGTTAGGGTCCTGGAGTCATGTTAAGACTCTCCCAAACCAAGGAAATATACCACCCACTTCCTAAATTCTACATAAATCTTCACATATGAATGCCTTTTTGGATAAATAAGTAACCACCAAAATAATCCAACCCCAAAGAGAAATCTGCAGGAATTCTCACTTCGGTATGACCACGAAGTCTGGAAGTAATTTAGAGCTTCTTCTGTTAAGAATCAGGATTAAGAATGATATAAAAAGGAGACACAGGAGGAAGCACCAAGACCATTCTACCCTTAGGGAGACAACAGCATCAATGCTTGATCGGGATTTTCAAAGGGTGCAGGGATTGCAAAAAAAAACAACAACAAAACCAGAATTTAAAAAACCGTTCTTCTGGTCTTTATCAGATTGATATTTGGGGCAACATTAACATTTCCCTACTTGGATTAGGCTAGAATTTAAATTTGAATTTCCTAGTTTCACATCTGAGGAGGAATTATTTGATGCAATGTTAAGAACAGCATAGGTTTCTCAAATAATCCACCCAGATACCCAAGCTTGCGAAATAGGCTTCTATAGTTTGTTGCTTTTCAGGAATAAAAGTTCTTTCAGCACTGTATTTGGCTGAATGGGAGATACAAATACTTCTACAGAAACCTCAGTGAGTACTAAAAAAACACAAAACTTTCAACAGTAATAAAATGGTGAGATTAAATGCATCACAGAGAAGAGAGCTATGGTATGAAGTTTATAGTCTCAGGAATGAAGTTTCACTGAGGATGATCAGGACTTGGAGCTTCAGGGTAACTTAAGTGGGGAGGGAGAAAGGTCTACAAATAACGAAAGTACAAACAAGCACGGTCAGCATTTACCCGATCAACCAGAGCCAAGGGAAGTTGTGATTGCGGAACAGTGACAAACTGGAAAGGCAGACCTCCTACCGTTGATTCGTATTAGGGGAGTTGACATGAGATCAGCTACAACACTTTGGTGACGAATTTGGGTGTAGTACAGATAAGGATGCTGGTATAACAAATGCAGATGGCATGCAAACTAAACAGCATTTTGAACTATTATCCGGCAAATAACCTGTAGTTCAAGTTGTAGATGTAATGGTACTGTGGCTAAGAAGTGGTTATATAGAAAGTCATATGCAAATGTACTACCTAACTCTAGAGTACAAAGGAATCATTTTCAGTGGTCTTTGCTGTAGTGTGCTTGCTGGGCTGCTAGCCAACATTTCACGTCTTAAGACGTGGATGTCACTCTTGGTTTATTTTATAACTCACATTTCTTTAAAAAAAAAAAAAAAAAGTCTCCAAAAATAATTAGAAACACTCCAGGAGGTCACAGAATGGAAAATGATATTTTAATGTTACATACAAATATTTAGCTTCTACTACTACACAATAAATAACAAAGATTTATTCCGAACTTAGACACAGAAAAAATGTAGACCTAATATTTTACGGGTTACTTATTCAAGATATTCAGAATGGGAAATAATTCAAATTTCTAGGTTTCTCTTCCAAAGCAACTGAATGATTATCTTGAGTGTCTATTCAGTGCATAGCTATTTTGTGCTATGTACCTGGAAGGGGGAGGAAGAAAGGTTATGACCTGTTAGAAAAGACAGACATAAACAACTCACTGATAATCAAGGCAGAATGGCAAAAGTTTTAAGATACAGTAGAAATACTCTGTGGAAATAGGGGAAGGGAAGGACCAAAAGTATTTATTCAAGTAAGTTTATTTAGGGACTATCGTGCCAGACACCATCTTGGTTCGTCAGGAAAATAAAATGCAAACAAGAAAGTTGGTGTAGCTGGCTGGATACTGCAAGCAAGCCAGGTGACCTAGCTATACTCGAGGTACACACCTACACAAGTCTGTGTCCACAAAGGAATGATTCTGTCTGTATGACAGGCACTAAGTTTCCAGGAGGTGATTTTTGAGATACTAGCCAATGTTAAGTTACATCTCTCTAACAGAAGAGATGGAAAGCATCGCAGGAGGAAAGAACACTTAGGACCAAATGCCAAGAAATGCTGGGGAATGCCAAGTCCTGGGATATGGAGCGAATCAGGGGGAGAGCTTAAGATGAGGCTATAAAGGTAAGGCGGGGGCTAGGTTACCAAGGGCCTCAGGTGCCTTATTTCTAAGAGTAACCTCCAAGCAATGAGGTTTCAAAAAACTCTAGTAGGGAGTGACAGGATAAATTTTTTCATTAAAAAAAAAAAACAAAAAAAACAAACAAACAAAAAAACAAACAAAACCACTCTACCATCGGTGGTTGGTGGACAGCTGGGGCGTGGGGTGAGGACACTAATGAATTTCTAACCACACTTGAAATTCACTGACCATACAGTAGATGTTGTTAATTCAAATTTCCAAGCAGGCCACTTTAAGGGCAGAAGAGATTCAGCCTAGGACTTCCAAGTCCTATTTAAAGGCTGTTGGTTGCCTTTTGACTGATGCAGCAGTCCATTCCTAAGTTTTAAACCTTAATCCCTGCCACAACTTGAAAACTTATCCCAAACTTTATGTATTAAGGCTCCCCTACAGCACCTCAGGACACAATTCTACCATGCCTCTGGCAGTTTACAATCTCCAAGTTCAGCCTTTTTCTTTTACAAAGAATTCTGGACTTCCAACTGTACAATTTTGGTTTTAGAATGCCTCTTCACAAATTCAACTAAAGAGACCACATACCTAACACTGTTAGGATTAAAGACAAGCATAATCAACCTATAGTCCTCTCAGTCCAACCTGTACCAAGCCTGCTGTCAGCAACCACCGTCTGTGGCTACACTTGCCACATAAAATGTTAGTTAAGCAGGCAGGGAATCTGTAAATTTGATTCTTCTCTCTTGAAAAAATACTTTTATTTGCTCTTTTAGAAATTCTTCAAAGCATACAAGTTTCTACTATCAATGTTTTAAGGTGAGTGCTCCCACGTCCATTTTGAGTAAACTGTATCATCGACTGGGCCCAAAACTTAACAGTATTTTTATAGTGAATTTAAACAAGAGGTTTACATTCTTTGCAATATTAAGGTTATAGGGAGAGGAATGATGGGAATGACATGCTAAAATTTAAGCTTTCTTAATATAAAATGGCATTAAGTAAACTGGACAAGAGAACTATAGGTACAGACTTTATGGTCACAAGGTAACTCTCTGTAGCTACTTAAGCAAGGCCTAGAGAACAGAAAAAATGTCAACAGTTAACCTGATGAATAAGCAGAATTTTAAGACACACTAATACTCATTAAGTCTTTCATAACACTGAGAAATAAGACTCCAGAAACCTGTTTCACACCACATAAACAAGCAACAAAGGTCCCTGAATGCATATTTGTTTTTCCTAGTATGGGACCAATTTTATGCCTAGATTGCTTTGTGCAGCACATCGACTCCTGCACCCAGTTCTTAGATTTCTGGCCTTAGTGATCTATACCTGTAGGTATACAAGGGAGGCAGGAAAACAAACAGATTCACATCTACAGCAGTTTTTCCTAAGCCCCCAAACCTAGACCTATTTTTCTAGAGGTTCAGTACTAATAAAGCTCTTCCAAGACTTAAATGGATCCTTACTCAACAGATGAGAAGGCAAAGGTAAAATTATAGTGAGAAAACTTACTCAAAAAAATTCCACTTAACTTTGAAGCTAACAGAGAAGATTAAGGTACTTGCTTTCCAACTTGCTTTAGGGATATTTTACAGTACGGAGAAATTTCCTGGTTGATTTTGTGTAATTGCTCCCTCTAGTGGCTACAAAGTTTCCCCGAGCATTTACTCAAACAGGAGTGGAATGTTAAAAAAAAAAAAAAAGATATCTGGCATCCCTACAAGTGGTTTTGTTCATATTTGGTGAAGAGGAGTATAACATTCTAGAGAAGCTCTCAATTCCCACTATCTTCACACAGATCGTTCTATCAATAGTCCACAGAGAACAGTTTTAAGTTACAGGGCCACAGGAGTTAAAGACATTTAACTTGTTAACTCCTTTGTGCTTAAGACAGACACCCAGGGGGGCGCCTGGGTGGCTTAGTCGGTTAAGCGTCCGACTTTCGCTCAGGTCATGATCTCGCGGTTCGTGGGTTCGAGCCCCGCGTCGGGCTCAGTGCTGACTGCCAGCTCAGAGCCTGGAGCCTGTTTCAGTCTGTGACTCCCTCTCTCTCTGACCCTCCCCTGCTCACGCTGTCTCTCTCTCTCTCTCCTAGA